CTATGGAAGCATTCAAAGCACGTGGATCATATATTGTAAAGTTTACTATGCCATTAGTTAAAGAAACAGCAGTACTTCGACCTCGTGATATTATAAATCGTGTTCGTTTTGAAGTAGGACCGAGTTACCATATTGGTAGTTTAAAAGTAAACCTATTACATCACACAAAATTAATTTTTCGTTTTGCTCAAAAATCCGTTTGGTCCGTCGGATTTTTGTTTTCTTTATAATAACTCTAAAACCTATTTAATCACGAAATGAGGCAATAAATCAGGATATCATTATGTTTAAATCGTCTAGCAATTTTGACGGTATATTTGGGCCCTTCTTTGTAATAATTTTCAAATATTGGGCCTTTATTCGTAATTATTTTCATTTTGGGCCCTTATTTGTAATTATTTTTATTTTTGGGCCCTTATCTGTAAATTCCCCTTTTTTAATATGCAGGGTGATAAACGATCAATATTGTTCTTCTCATAAAGCAACACCTAATGTATGGTATTCGGTCAATATCCTCATAGTGATACAAATTCAAGTGACATTCTAATAGCAGAAAATGATAATTATGATAATACTGCAAATTATAACTTAGATATTAATGAATCGGGAAATTCTACTTTATATGGCACCATAGTAGAAGATATCAAATTGGAAAATATAGAACATCCAGAATTGCAAAGCATGGAAAATCCTGACTTAGAAAGCATGGAAGGTCCTGAATTAGAAAGTATAGAAGGTTCTGAATTAGAAGGCATGGAAATCCCTGAATTAGAATGCATAGGAGATCCCGAATTAGAAGGCATAGAAGGTTCCAAATTAAAAAGCATTGAATGTTCTGAATATGGTGACGATAAATTAGGTTCTGAATTTGGATGCTTTAAATTAATGAAGTTTGAAAGTAGCTCTGAAATGATGATTGTCACCTCTGCACTACTATACCTAGTATTGACACGCGTTGCCAAATACTTTGCACCAGCAATCCTAGATCTAGGGTTATGCTCTTGATTCAAAAATTAGTTATACGACTCATTGATTAGGTCATACAAATTTATATTTTCAGGTTTCATATCACCAACTGGTCCCTCATAACCCGCCAGTCCGGATTTTAATTTTTTTTAAGGAAATTTTTATAATAAAAAAAATTATTTATGAATTTTATTGTCTCACACCGGGTACTTGGTAAAAATTTCATATGTA